TAGTCAGCAAGCTTCTTTGATAATACCGTGATTGAAAATGTGCAAAAAGCTTTTACAATTTAAAATAAAAGTGATTTGAATATTGAAGTTAAAGCACATGGATCATCATCATTTCTATCAGCTAGTACAAGGGGTGTGTTCCGAAATATAACCCGGTATACTGGCCACTGCTGATGACGTCGTGAATCGACGCCATACTGTTGATTCGTTCCGAAATATACTGGCCAGTGCGTTGACGTCTAATGGACGCCATATTGAGAATAGTGTCTGTGGTCGTTTACAAAAATTTTTCTCCAAAAGTTATTAACGTTTATTATAATAAAAAATTGTCCAAACTCTGAAGCACACACGCCCGTTTGATATACTTTTACGACACACTTGTTTCACCAGTACAATATGGTGGCACACCAGTACAATATGGCGTCAATTCATGACGTCATCAGCACTGACCAGTATGCTGGGTTATATTTCGGAACACACCCAAGATTTAGTCCGGTTTGGTTAATATCTTTATAATTTTTCTCACGTACTTTAATCCAGTTTTATGGTTAACGCAAGAAGTAAAAGTATTTTAATAAATACTGAAAACGTTCCGCAAAGAGAAAGTTAACAGAGGATAATCTTAATAAGTCAGTATGCAATTTATTTCGTTTTGGGAAAACCTTAAGGACCAAAATTTAATTAATTTCAATTTGCTATTTCTGGAGTACTTATTCAAGAAAAAGTAAAATTCTTGTAATAGGTACTAATTTCTGAAATTTACAGGGCGGTTTTAATTTATTTGTTGTTGATTCTTTTACAAAAATTAAACAAAATTAAAACTGACACAACTGCTATTAATTAAATGCAGTAAAACATTAAAAACAAACAATGATGAACAAGGATCAGTGGAGAATGTGATGCATTGGTTGCAAAAAGTTATGAAGTGATCATAATCTCTTACTGATTATGACGGATTAATGAACTCATTTCTATCTACATATGTGTGTCTATAAAGAAAAGTCCCGACTCAATGCCTCATCAACATCCGAGCTAAATCCTTGGACCTAAATAGTTGAGATTTTGTACAGTAGTTTTCTTTTATGATAAAAACAAGGAATAAGAAAGGAAATTCAAAAGTAGAAACCCGGTGAGGCAGTAACAACATTGTTTTCAAGGTTCTGTACCTCAAAAGGGAAAAAGAAACCCTTATGGGATTCGCTGTCCGTCTGGTCATCTGTTATGACCTTTTGATGTGAAAAAATGAAAGTTCCAAGTTAAGGTAATCAAAAAGTACAATCGCTTATGCAATTTTGACATTCGCAAGGAAGTCTTTCCCGTTGACCTAGAAACATAAAATTAGTAAGAAGGAATGCCTTATAACCAAATTTTTTTGTAGCACTTACTTAATTTTCTACATTTACTTAAGTAGGTATAAATAATTTTTAAAGAAAACCTTGTAGGCATTTTCTGATTTTTTAAATATTGGAATTTTTCTAGACTAATAGTGGTGTTTGCATTAGATCACCAGCTGCGAAGATTGAGTACGATTCATATTTTTCTGTTTGAAATTATTGAGATATAGTTTTTCTACCTTTATGTTATACTTTCTTTAGTTCAGCAACAAATAATTCTTCTATATGCTTCTTTATTTGCCTTTGTCACCCGTTTTAATTGGAAAAAAGACAATGATGCCAAAATAGCGTGAAAGATCAAAGCTAAAATAGGGTTGCAAATAATTTTATTGACGTAAAATCAACATCAACCATTTTACATCAAAATATTTACAACCCCATTTTGTTTCTGATCTTCTACACATTTTTATAACAGAAAAAAAAGGAATCCANCATTTTGTTTCCGATCTTTTATACATTGTAATAATAGAAAGAAATGGAATTCAATGGTTTCTTTAGCTTTGGGTTCATCTAATAACTTTTTCTAATCGTTTCTTAGAATTTTGGATTATACGCATTTATTAGCACACCACGATATCTTGTAGTTTTCAGTTTTACACAGCTGGCGCATATCACTTCGATATTGTTTTGCGGGCTGTTTTGCCGTAAATCATAGAACTTCGTAGTTTCTTGCCAAAGGTACGATAAGTGGTGATTTGGTAGGTGCTAATATCAATTGGGAACTTCAACTTACATGAACCATGACATTAAACCCGGAAAACTACATCGATCCAATATTTTAGATTATCCATTTCTAAGGAGTTTAGAATTTTACGGGCTCTCTTCAGTTAAAGAATTAAAGGGCATGCACAGAATGTCTCGTTGTCCCCTTTTTAAACTTCTAATACCTTCAATGGTCAATGTGAGCAACTTTCATTAATGATTTTATATAATGTTTGATCGGTGATACGCCAAAAATGTATTTTGCATTTTACAAATAGAAAATACGTAGCGGATGAACAACCTACAAGTTTGTGCGCAAGTCTGACTCGAACTTGACCGGTTTTTAACTATTAAAGTTGCTTAATAAAACAAGTAATATAACGGACAGTTGGATTGTATCATTGTACGATATTCCCGATTTCTCAGAATTACCGAAAAAATAAACACCTGGGCACCTGAGTACAATTGGATTGGCCACCCGCGATTTGATATTAATAACTGTGACAGTATTTGATACTATATTCGGGCATGTGTTTTATATGTCATCGGTTACAATAATAGAATACCATAAAATAATACAGGAGCACTTTTGACCCGTGATTGTCGTTATCAACGGTAATAAATTGTCTTCTGGCACACTTCTAGAATCACTGGCATTTAATATCTTATTTACGAACTCTCAACGCTTGTGCAGTCGTGAGACGACATGAGATAAAATAAGACAGATATGTACACAGTACACCAGTTTAATACATAATGAAAACAACATTGAACTCTTAAAGCAATTGTTATTAATTTAGTTTCAGTAAAATTTGAGGGGCCCAAAATTGAAGAGACAGAATTTATATTCAATGCGTAAAAGTTGATGGATCTGAAGCACATGCTGTTGCTGATTTTAATATTGAACCAGCAGTTCAATTATTTACTTAGAACATCATCATCATCATCATCATAAGGTCGTCAGTCGGACGCATCTGTCCTCTTTCCCATTCTGAGCTAATCTTCGCATTTCCCTAAAACTGGAATAAACCACATCCTTAACTATTTGAGAACATTAAACTAATCTAGGTCTACCTCTACCCTTCCTAACTTCCGTTTCTGCATCTAACATGTCTCTGACTACTAACCTACCGCGCCTATTGCTTATTGACTTCCATAGAGTCCTCAATTTTCCTATCCTTTCTAATATCTTTTCATTTCTAACCTTCTTTATCCACAGTATCCTCATCATTCGTCTGTAATATCACATTTCAAACCTTTCAAACGACTCGACCCTGCGCTATCCTCTGCTCTATATCCCTACTACTCCTAAAATCGGCCAGTTCTTCTAATTTTTCGTTTCCTATATATATANATTCAATTATTTACTTAGAACATCATCATCATCATCATCATAAGGTCGTCAGTCGGACGCATCTGTCCTCTCTCCCATCCTGAGCTAATCTTCGCATTTCCCTAAAACTGGAACAACCCACATCCTTAACTATTTGCGAACAGTAATCTAATATAGGTCTACCTCTACCCCTCCTAACTTCCGTTTCTGCATCTAACATGTCTCTGACTACTAATCTATTGTGCCTATTGCTTATTGACTTCCATAGAGTCCTCAGCTTTCCTATCCTTTCCAATATCTCTTCAATTCTAACCTTCTATATCCACAGTATCCTCATCATTCGTCTGTAATACCACATTTCAAACCTTTCAAACGACTCGACCCTGCGCTATCCTCTGTTCTATANTACATGCCTAGAAATGTATAAAAATTGGCATATTTATTAACTTTGAACCTCCATAACTTTTTATGGGGGCGAGACCGCCACGAACTTTTCATGGTACAGTGGTGGGGGAGACCGCCTCTTTCGATCCCCCCACCCCCTTCGGGGGGCCATCATCTAGACCTCTACCGAAGTATTAGAAATAATAAAAGAGAGGACTCTATGGAAGTCAATAAGAAATAGGCGAGATAGGTTGGTAGGACAACTTTTCAGGCATGAAGGTCTAATCAGGGACGTATTAGAGGCAGAAACAGGAGTTAAGAGGGGTGGAGGAAGGCCTAGATTAGAATATGTTCGCAAATAGTTAAGGATGTAAGTTGTTCTAGTTTTAGGGAAATGCGAAGATTACTTTAATGAGTCTTAGGACGGACGACCTCATGACAATGAAATACAGGGTGGTTTAATAGAAATGCACCATTCGTTCATCTGAAATGTGGTTATTTTTGAATTNAATACCAATCTTTTACCCCTGTATATCTATCCCTACAGTTGTACTGTCTTTAATGATGTTGATCGCGTCTTCGATGTGCAGATTAAAAAGTAGCGGTGACAGTGTACTTTTTTTTCTTCTCTATGTTGCAGCCCCAGCTCAAAATTGTTAAATGATTTCGTGCCCAGTAGAAGAACTGATGTTGTTCTGATTCGGGTCTAAAGGCTCTCGTCCTTCCATCTCTGATACTGGAAATGGAAGGATTTCTGAAGAAGATCACCCCTTGTACCAGCGAAACGTTAGGAAGCAATTCCAACACACGACGGCCTTTAGACCCGAATTGGAACAGCATGTTTTTCTGTCTATCTATGTGTTTGTTTGTCCGGGATTAATACAGAAATTCAATTTCATGGGACTATCCATAAACTACGTACACGAACTGAAGTGGGGGGGGGGTTCAGTCTGGCGTTACGGTCCTTGTTATGTGGGAGGACATAGAGGTTAAGGTATGTATGCGTTACGCAATAATTATTAAAGAAAATAGTCAACCTTTTGTACTAAATAATAATATTGTTATTATTGGATCGCAAAAATGCTTTAAAAAAGACATTAAATGTACATCTACTTTTGGATAGAATTTCTACGAATTATTAGGTCTACCTTCGTTTAAAATGTTCAATAATTATAAGAAACACTTACCACTTTTAATTTTGCCTGGATTTCGCGCAATTTTCGCCTTGCGAGTACCTGAATGTGTGAACTAACTTGTTTTCGTGTGCGCGTTTTCCCAGTTCGAAGTTTGATGTAGCGGGCGATAAGTTCATTCCTTCCTGTAACAAAAGAAAAACGAAATAGTTGCAGTCTTCAACATTATTTAGATCCTTCTTAGAATTTACGCAGCCAATTAGCAAATATAGAAATCTCATTCATAGAATTCTTTGCATCTTTTTTTATTCCATCCCAGTTTCAAATTTCGCAATTTTTTGATTGTAAAGTTAGTTGGAAGATGCAGTTGTTCAAAATAGATACAATACAATTAGAAATGAAAAAAAAAAAAATTGGGTTAATTACAACTATTCATAACTCGATATTCAAGTAGCTTAGTGGCCAGAACACTGGTGCATAAACCAGACACCCGGGTTCGATTCCCGGTGAGGGTGTGACAGCAGTAACAAATTTTTTCTCATTATCTTGATGTAATGTTATTTAACATCCATAAATTCACTTTTTGAAGTGAAACTTCTTTACGCACGGTAGGGTAAGTTCGTTTCATGCGAGTTGCTATTTCCCCCGCAGTCTGTCCCTATGTGTGCTTAGATCTTTAAATCTGCGCAACGGATTTTAATGCGTTTTTTTTTAATAGATAGAGTAATTCAAAAGGATGGTTTATATGTATACTACATGCATAATATAGTAGAGAAACACTGATAATTTTAGAGGTTTGTAATGTGATGTCGTAAATAAACACATTTTTTTGCGCTTACATTGCAAACGCTGGCTGAACCCTACGAGATAGATCAAAATAATATACTGCAGTATTGTACACCTTAAAAAGGTCTACAAAAAAGTCCGNGCTGCTCGAAATCATAGCTTACATAGACATATGTTATCTAGACACAATTTAGCATACCTATAATTACTGTTTGCAAATAACACATGTATGTAAAAGAAACAGAAATATAATTTTTATAAAAAATAATGCAAAATTATATTATATGTTCCCGCATGTATTATTACTTTGATTGCCTGTATAATTTAGAGTGATTGAGGAATTTATCGGTCAGCGTATCGTTGGCTAGCGTTGACTATTGGTAACGCCAACGTTTGGTTCGGACGCGTTTGCAAAAGGGAAGCCAGCGTTCGCACTTCGGATACGAATGATTCGTATTGAGTTGGTGCAAGTTTCGGTTAGCCTAACATGAAGAGGGAACATTATAAGGACACGCATTTAAATATTAAACGTGCATCATTTTTGATAGTCTATTGTTTTATATTATAGGGAAACAAAAATCTTAAAACTTACTGTAATAGACTCCAGTAAATGTAACTTACGATTAACAGTAGATGTACCTTCCTCTTAACGATGACGAGATCGATGTACTGCTATAGATTTATTAACATGGTCCTATTTTCAGTTTTACCCCAATTTTTACCGAAAAAATTCAGATGTGATAAATGCCCGAAAGCATATTTGGTAAAATCAACTCTAACGAGACATAAAAAATACGAGTGTGGCAAAAAGCCTTGCTTCGGATGTCCGGAATGCTCGTATAGGGGATTTCAGAAGACGCATGTCATTAATCATCTGATGTCAACTCACTGTTTACCAAGAACTGTTGCGAGAGACGTTTGCGTTCTTTATGACGATAGTTAAATACTGAAAAAAGGAAAAGAATTTGGCGAATTATATCAAATCTGTTGAAGGATATTTTTATAAATTGTAACAATAATACCTAATTAGGCAATGTTGTTGATATAATTTAAGTGTTTATAAAACCGTCCAAATCACTCAATAGTGCCTAATATAAAATTTTCTACGAATTGTTGTACTTGAAAATGAAAGGTGAATGTCTAGATGATGGCCCCCTTTCGTGGGTGGGGGTGGGTGGGATCGAAAGAGGAGGTCTCCCCCACCACTGTACCATAAAAAGTTCGTGGCGGTCTCACCCCCATAAAAAGTTATGGGGGTTATATGGGGGTGGTGGTAGGGGAATCGAAAGAGGGTAGGGGGGATCGAAAGAGGGTGGTCACCTGGGGGTTGAAAGTTGATTATTTTGACAATTTTCATACACTATAATTCAAATACAATTTAATAAAAACATTATTTTCAAGCGGGTGGAGGTAGGGGATCGAAAGAGGGTGGCCACTTGAACAAAACCCGATAACCTAACCTAACCTAACCTACCCTATTGATAAAGATATTTAAATAATGTTTTATATAAATTTCTCAATATTTTTATGTATTTTTCATTAGTTGAACCTTTGAATATTGTTTAAGAATGACTATATAAATATTTACATGCCTAGAAATGTATAAAAATTGGCATATTTATTAACTTTGAACCTCCATAACTTTTTATGGGGGCGAGACCGCCACGAACTTTTCATGGTACAGTGGTGGGGGAGACCGCCTCTTTCGATCCCCCCACCCCCTTCGGGGGGCCATCATCTAGACCTCTACCGAAGTATTAGAAATAATAAAAGAGAGGACTCTATGGAAGTCAATAAGAAATAGGCGAGATAGGTTGGTAGGACAACTTTTCAGGCATGAAGGTCTAATCAGGGACGTATTAGAGGCAGAAACAGGAGTTAAGAGGGGTGGAGGAAGGCCTAGATTAGAATATGTTCGCAAATAGTTAAGGATGTAAGTTGTTCTAGTTTTAGGGAAATGCGAAGATTACTTTAATGAGTCTTAGGACGGACGACCTCATGACAATGAAATACAGGGTGGTTTAATAGAAATGCACCATTCGTTCATCTGAAATGTGGTTATTTTTGAATTACCAATTATAAAACATGTTCTACAATTAGAAGCGCGTATATAAAGACTGAGATATAATTAATTTAATGTTACATATGTCAGAGTAGGGTAGAAGGTTTCTACTTCGCAATTAGCAACGACATAAATACATTTATATACTTAAGTACCCGGTAAGTACATGATATGTATATGCTCATACATAACTAGACATACAGTACGGTTAGATAGTGGTAAATATTATGGAAAAGAATGTAAACATGGGTTCGGGCATATCGTTATTGTATTATAACGCCCTATAACACGTGTTAAATGTTATATATTAATATAAAACATATTCAACTCTTTTGTAAAATGCCTGCTTCCGTGTATATAAAGCATAATTAATAATGTATGAAGCTAGCTTACTGTTTATTACAATTTGTGTGCAATTATTTTAATGGGTAATTGATAACGAAAAACATAATTAAGTAACTATCTAGTAGACAATTAATTCTATTAAACACAATTAAAATCGAAAACGAGGGCGTACTGGAAAGAATAAGACAACAAAAAGAAGAAATAGAATGATAGGGAACAATCTAACATATGAACGACTAGGTTAAAGTCATATTAGAAGCACAAACAGAAGTAAAGAGTGATTTGAATCTGCTAATTGTAAGATAGCTCTGGAACGTGATTCCAGTCCGCGGTTGAAAAATGAATCAGAGTTTCCCTTTTAATCCGGCATGGTGGGGGTTTCGAAAAAAGCAGGGTAATCAATTTCGATGTATTTTACAACGGAGAAACCGAATATGGTCCAAGAACTGGCCTAACTACACAGTGTGTCCCAAAAATAACCGAACTTTATATTTAAATCATACAACATGCAGTGCCATCTATTGCAAATTTGCAGCATTAAAAAGATACATTCATCCTCTTTCAAACGCAGCAAAATTCATTTAAATCAGATGACAGATGTCAAAGTTACAGCCATTTCAATAAAAGAAAAAGTGTACTAATGTTACAAAACAAAAATGGAACAAGGAGAAAATATAAAATTTTGTCTTAAACTTGAAAAGAAATTCGCTGAGACATACGAAATGATGAAAAAAGTTTATGGTGATGATTGTATGAGTCGTACTCAAGTTTATACGTGGTTTACACGATTTAAAAATGGTCGTGAGGATTTAAATGACGACCTAAGGCCAGGTCGTCCAGAAGCTAGTAATCGTGCTGAATTATTGGAAAAAGTCCGTGAAATCATTGGTATCGATGCAAATTTTACTACGAGAATGTTGGCTGAGGAATTAAATACGAGTAAAAACACTATTTTGAGAATTTTAACTGAAGATTTGGGTAAAAGAAAGGTCTGTGCGCGTTTTGTTCCACATGAATTAAATGAGGACCAAAAAATCGCTCGTGTGGAGCATTGCAAAGACATTGTTAAAACTGCTGAAAACGATCCAGACTTTCTTGATTCGATCATAACTGGTGATGAGTGACCCTGAAACTAAGCGTCAATCTGCTGAATGGAAGTCCAAAGGCGAGCTAAAACCAAAAAAATTGCGTTTTCAGAAGTCTCGATTCAAGACAATGTTGATTACTTTTTATGATTCGAAGGGTATTGTCCACAAGGAATTTGTTCCAGAAGGTCGAACTGTTAATGGAGAATACTATTTGGGCGTTTTACATCGTTTGTGGAAAAGAATTGGTCGTGTTAGACCTGAATATCCAGCAGGAAAACAGCTGTTTTTACTACACGATAATGCACCACCTCACAAGACCAAAAGAGTTAACGAATTTTTGATGAAAAAACGGATTTCTCTCATCAACCACCCTCCGTATTCGCCTGATTTATCACCATGTGACTATTTCCTATTTCCAAAATTGAAAACCAAGATGAAAGGAGCATTTTATGATGATATCCCAGCCATTCAAGCAGCTGTAACCGAGGTGCTGAAGAACATTCCTATAAATGACATAAAAAAATCTATGCATGCGCTGGTTGATCGTTCCAAACGTTGTATTGAGTCTAATGGAACCTATTTTGAATAAATAATAACTTTCAAAGATAACATAATGTGTATTTTATGCTATATCCAAAAAGTTCGGTTATTTTTGGGACACACTGTGTATNAACACCTACTTAAGGTACATCGACTTAAATTGATAACACTTGACTGTTAATATGCTCACGTTTAAGCCACGCTTTCTCCATATTTGCTTGTGTACCTACAAATTTAACTACATTATACCTTTTAACAGAAAAAAATAAAAACAGAACATTTTGGCGTATTTTCTTTCCGTCGACTACCTTCATTAAACATTAGACTGGATAGAATATAAACTTTTTCCAAAATTATATTAGTT